TCTTATCTTATCTTATCTTATCTTATCTTATCTTATCTTATCTTATCTTATCTTATCTTACCTTACCTTAATCTTATTTTATTTTATTCTTACCTTACATTAATCTTAATTTATCCTATCTTATCTTATCTTACCTTACCTTACCTTACCTTTATCTTATCTTATCTTATCTTATCTTATCTTATCTTATCTTATCTTATCTTATCTTATCTTATCTTATCTTATAAAGATGGTGTAACTTCAGCCTGGATGAAACTGTTTGTTACAGAGTTGCAAATAGAGAATGGCTCTGCTCTGTGAAGTTGCTCTTTCACATTTATTTTGACATGCAGAAAAAGAAAGGTTTTAAATGTCACTGCATGTTAATATTCCATTCCTATAAGGATCAGTGGTGCCCAGTTCTGGTCCTCGAGTGCCACTGTCCTGCATGTTTTAGTTGTTTCCCTGCTCTTTAGCAAGTCTTCAAGTTCTGCAGAAGCTTGTTAATCATTTCTTCACTGAAATCAGGTATCAAAACAGAAACATCTAAAACATGCAGGATAGTTTCCCCCTTAGGACTGAACACCACTGACTGAATGCCTTGCTGGAAGGTTTGGAAGCAACATGTGAAGGTAAGAAGCGATCTAATTTGTGAGCAAAAAAAGTCACATCATTTGCAACAGAACTGCTAAATATGGTCTGGACTTACCAACTACAATTTGGTGGTCTTCATTCTCTGGTTCTGGCTCCAAAATGTGAGGCCGGATGGACAAGTATTCTGTTGCTGACATATTTTATGTAAAAAAAATGTTTCTATGCTGCTATATAGTCTGGAATTGAAGTTGGAGGGGGGCGGGGTGTGAAGCAAATTGTTTGGATTTAAAGAGACAGCATCAAAACGGGTTGATCCGAGAGAGCTCAGAAAAGAGGTGAAAGAGAGGCTTGTGGAGTTACAATAAGGAGCAATTCACACCAAAGCACCACAGTTCTACATTAGACCTCAACTGAATGATTTAAATGTGAAAAAGAAGGATTTAAAAGCATGGTATGTCTCCTTTAAAAAATGGGAATTTGTAAATAAATATCCTGAAAAGTTAAAACAAGGTCCATTCTGCCTTTTTTCACAGTTTACAAAAGGGAGTGCTTTGTGAGTGAAATAAGCCTAAAAATATCTTTGCCAAGTTTGTAAGGTCAAATGTCATACTGACTAGCAGACAAAAGATTGTATATCAAAAATGACTAAATACTGTATATTGTTAGCCAAGATTTGATTTTTTGATGYACTGTGACAACTAGAAAAAATATTCGTACAAAGTGTTTCATCAGTCTACAGCAATGAAACAAACTGTGGTGTGTTTTTTTGCTCTGATGTTGCGTGTGACGCTTTGTGTTGAACAGACTACCTGTCCAGGATTATCACCAGCCACTCCGCTCACGCCTGTGACGGCACGCCGCTGCGCCTCCACTGCCCTCGCCACTCCACCATCTCCATCCAGTCGGCCTTCTACGGGAGCGGCGAGGTCTGGCTCTGCAAGGGGGAGCCTCCCTCCGGACCCCGCGACAACCGCAGCTGCTCGGCGTACACTGCTCTGCAGGTGCATTTTCATGTTTGGGACGTGAGTTTAGCTTTTGGACTAATTATGAGTAAATCATGCCCGCTGTGTTATTAAGTGTCTCTTGTGGATTTCTAAAGGCAATTTTGTTTTTAATTTCTCATGCATCCACCTTGTTGCAACATTGGTTGATTGTTGTGCAGAAGCTGCTATCAGAGTGTCAGAGCCACAGAGATTGCCAGCTGCCTGTCAGTCACCTGCTGTTTGGGAAGGACCCCTGCCCCGGCACTACCAAATATCTCCATGTGGATTACAAATGTAAACCCAGTGAGTTCACCATCCTGCTCGTCTTTTATTTCTGAGGTAGWGCAGGAAAGCAGGAGTTTCAAACACATTGTCCTCAAAGGGCCAGTTGCAATCAACTTCAAGAAGTTGTGCTTAACTTTGTCACGTTCCTCATCTCATTGCTATGGCTGAGCACCGCTAACAAACAATAACTGAGCTCTACGTGGTATTTCCCACAGAGAAACAGTGTTTTAACACATCGTTTTATAAACACTGAAAAGTACTGACTGACTAAATGTGAAAAATATAATACAGAAATACTATTAAAAGTAAAAAAAAAAGAGAGTTTTACTCATTGTTGAGTKGTGGTGAGAAGCTGCTGTCTTGAATTCTGAACTCTCCTACTTTCCGATAGGAAATTCCCACTGTTGGGGCGTTCCAATTTAAATTTATGATTAGTAATTGGGAAATACCCACTTCCCAGTAAAGCTAAGCCACAGAAAAAATTGCTGTCAAAAATGCAGCAAATTGGAGATTTTGCATTGTGAATTTCCCCATCTCACAGCTGATTTTGAACAAAGGAGGTTCTATAGAACAGCTGGAGTGGGTGGAGTGAAGCTAACGGCTAACGCAAAATGGTCAAGAGTCTGGATTTCCCATCACTGTACATGTTGACAACAGAGCAGAAAAAAGGACTGACGATGTAGAAATCATAAAAACTATTAATAATAATATTAATCCAATTATTATTAATATTTTACAGTTTATATAATCAATGTAATGTTTTAAATAAAGCCAGAAAAGCTGTTTGTGTTCTGGATTTATTAACAGAAGATAAACAGGAAAACGTCTCATTTTACAACAAGTCAGCAGATTTGATCTTATTTAGCTCAATGTGATCTGAGCAGAACATAATGTAACAGTTTAAAATTAAAATAATCTGATAAAGTCGATGTAATCACTGTTATTTATTGAATTGGTTAACAGATATTAGCTTGTGGAGCATATATAGAGTTTAGCACTGTTGAATCATGCTACAATTTGACAAAAACTTTTAAATATTACTTTGTCCTCTGATTAATATTTAGACCTACAGAGTGTAAAATAATGTATTTTTAGGTTTCTGTTAGATGAACCTGACCTGTTGAGAAGATGGTTAGCTAATAGAGACAAGTTTCATCCCATAACAGGTATACAGAGAACATTTTCTAAGTGACAGGTAAATATAAATATTCTTATTTTTTATGATAGTAAGAAGAAATAAGAAATGTACTTAATAGCCGAAGTCATCATTTTTGAACTAGCTAAAGTCTAAGTTACAGGCTGACTTCAGGCCTGTTTTAGATCAGTGTTACTTATAAATTATATATTTTTCTGGTATAAATCTGCTGTTTTACATGATTGTTGAATGAACTTAACATAGTTATTAATTTATTGTAAAAACATGACAGATAATTTGTGAAACAGATCCGGTTCAGCTTGTCGTTTATCTGTTAGTTTCTATGGAGGCTGTGAGCCGTTGCCCTGTTTGGTTTCTGCTCCTCCATGATGTCACAGATGCTAAGTGGATGGGCGGGGCTCCGTCTAGTGTTCTTATTCAAGTCTATGTTTTGAAACCTGTGCACCTCCACATAATGGTGGGATGTTTTCATTTCACAAGAAAAATAATCTACATGCATTACAAAAGATGTAGTTGATGGTCAACGCTGCCTTTAAAGCAGCCCGCACTTACTTTAAGACCATACATCTTTGAAGCATTCATGGGCCACATAAAATGCTGTGGCAGGCCACATGTGGCCTGCGAGCCTTCAGTTTGTTACATAGACTACAGGTATATTGCACTGACTGTACATCTTTTTTGTTTTTTTTTCTCAATCAGCTGAACACAAAAAACAGGTGGTGTGTGAAGGAGGCATCATGGTCCTGCGCTGTAAGCTCCCCAAGGTGCTGAACATCTACGCAGCTGTTTACGGACGAAGTCTGGCTCAGCCTGACATCTGCCCCTCACACCTGACCGGATCACCCCCATTTGGTGAGTTAATGTGAGTTTCATTGAACAAGGATTTAACATTATTATTTTGCAGGGGTCAAACCATGTTAAAAACCAGCAACACCCGTCCGTGGTCATTTCAAGTCCAACACTCAATAATTTCCACAAACATTGTGCAGAGCATCATCATTCTGGTTACAAGCATTAGCTGGCCTCGTGCCACAATGACTGAGTGATAGTGAGGCAGGAACACAAAAGCCCCACAGCTGAGTGGAACGCAGCCAGCATTGATTTGATTCTTTCCAATTGTACTTTCCCCTGCGATGACTATCAAAGAGACCTACGGCAGACAAGAAAGGTGGTCGATGAGCTGTGTTTGTTTACTTAAAACAGAAATTAGGCTGATTTATGAGGAATCTGACTTTTATTAAATTAAAGTGAAAACAGTACAGTAACAGTGCAGGTAGAGACAGGTGTATCTGATGACTTCAAGCTGCGGCTGCATTCCACCTGAGTTATTTGKATCACCTGTGCTTTTCCTGGTATGTGAAGTAAGACTAGGCTATGAGGGACAAGTCTGTGAAAGTTGTGTGAAACAGCCTAAATTTACTGTCATTAAATCTACGCTTATTTAGCTACAAAACTACTACACATAAACGGTTTGATTAACAGGATCAGATCTGCTAAAATGCAGAGTGCTAAATGACTGCAGAAAATTGTGGAAGAAATAACTTCACAGAAATGTTAAAGTTAAAAAAAGCTAAACAGGAGCTAAAATTGGATAAACAGTAACTAAAATATAAAAGTATCTGAGCTATGGCTAAAAGGTAAGTTTAGCAAAACCTAAAACCAAAACTGAAAAAAGTAGCTAAAAGCAAAAAAAGGCAAAATGCTAAAAGCAGTAAACCGAAAACTAAATGTTACAATTAATAAAACAACAGCTAAAAACTAAAATTAACACAAGAGCTAAATTCTTAATTTAACTGAACCATTGCTAAAAGCAAAAACAAGAAAAACAGTAGCTAAAAGCAAAAAATTGCAAAACGCTAAAAGCAGTAAACCAATAACTAAATGCTTCAGTCAATAAAAMGGTATCTAAAAGCTAAAATTAACACAAGAGCTTATAGATCGACTTAACTAATCCATTGCTAAAAGTAAAAATCAACACAGTTGTACCTACAGTCTAAGGAATAAAACATTATCTAAAAGCTTAATATATCTAAACAGTAGCTAAAAGTGAAAAATTTCAAGACAAAAGCTGAAAACTAGAAGAAGCATATGACAAAAACCGAGCAGCAGATTTTAGTGCTTTTGAAGGAACTGACAATATCTCCATGAATTCCTATGGAGATTTTTTTTGTAAATAAAGTTAAAATATTCACAAAGTGTAACAGTTACAATTACTAAATGTAATAGCATATTTTTCCCAACTGAGCCAATTGTTTTGGTATAGTAGCACAAAATACAGAAGTAGTTTGAGCCCAAATAACACCCAGTAAAATTTGTTAAATGCTGACTCATCATTAGTGGTTTAGTTGTTTCAATGTAAGAAGAAACACAACAGTCCCTGATTCTCTCCCTTCAGAGTGTCTGAACTACGAGGCTGTGCAGCTGGTGTCCAAGTCCTGCTACAGTAAACAAAAGTGTGCCATTGCTGTTGGCAACCAGACCTTTCGAGACCCCTGCTATCCAGGAACCAGGAAGTACCTCACTGTGCTGTATTCCTGTGGTAAGAC